ACTGGTCGTCAGTACGATCAGTACGTAGGATTTTGGCACTTTAGATCAAAACGTAGTATTTATATTCCCTACAAATTGCCCCAATGGAAATCTTTTCTAACAGAAATCTGTTCGTTGAGGCTTCGAGACCGGGTAAATGCTATATCTAATTGTATCAACTCGCGTTTTAAGCCAAAAATAGTAATAATAATAATAATAATAATAATAATAATAATAATTATTATTATTATTATTACTATTATATATTTTTGGCGAGGCTCAGGCCATTAGGTCTGCTTTTCCACCTAACCAATTTAGTGCAAAGTAGCAATTTCTTTTGTACTTTTTCTTTACCAAACTGCGTTGTTTCTCCTTCGCCAATAAAATCTTTGGAACGACACGAATAAGTCTTAATCTTGAGTGTGTTTAAGGTTTGAGCCCAGTATTTCTAATGTGTTCGAGTTATTAGTGACAGGCGTGCGCGCACAAACACACACCTATATACAAACATCATGATTAAAAATTCCTCATTTTCTCTTCGGGACTTTCTAATCGGATTTGTCTATCGAAATCCCAACCTCGAGTTTTTGGACCAATCGCAATACTTTTCCTCAACACTTCGTATAGCGATGTATAGAATTACATACATCAAAAAGAAATATTGTTTTATGCTCAAAATTGATCGTCATTGTAATCGTAAAATTGCTTGTTGAAACTCTGAGGAAAAGATTAATAAAAATCCGAAACGTTGGCACTTAAAAAAAATTGTTATATATCGCTGGCCTAAACTCAGTACAAAAATCACCACTAATATAAATATTGAAAAAGTAAAGTAAAAGTTCTTACTGCTTGATGAATGCTTAGTGGGATTAAATATTTTTATCTGCCGTACTCAAATATTTCTTTCTCACTGCCCGCATGAGTGTTAGGAATGGTATGTGTAAGTAGATGGAGAACTGGTATGTAAGTAGAATTTGAAACAGGTACGGGTTCTATGGCCTACGTTCATATATTTATATCAATGTTTATTGTTTACGTATAACCGATACCTTATCAAAATAAATAACAAATTAGGAAAACATACTTTTTGAAACAAAAGCAAGAATATGGCATTTTCATGGCATATATTATTCATTTTTTATTTTGAACACATTTCAAAATTTGTTGCTTTTCTTCAAATATAAGAAGTGCTCAGAGAAGAAACATTGGATTCCTGCCAAAATTTGAGGTGAAGATTTAGTCTCTAAAATCTGTTTTGACAGTCACTGAGACGAAAAAAGTGTTTTACCAAGATGTCTCTATAAATAGATGGACGTGTCTCCCGTAACTCGGACAGATTAGCAGCTTTTGAGCTTTAATTTCGTACACACATCAGTAGTAAGATTTGTTAGAACTCTTTGATATTCGAAAGATGTTTAAGATTGATGTGAGTGGCGAGGAGATGCAAGCATTTTTGCACAAAAAGTGCAAAAAATTGTTAAAAATTGTCAATGACCCCACACGAGCCTAACGTTTGGTACGGAATCTGGGACAATAGAATAAGACGTTATGCCGGTCCCCTGCTTCCTTGGAGACAATTCTAAATACAACGTTTTAAATGAAAAGTGCAACAACAAAAACGAGTATTTTACGTTTTTCCTGGCGTAACATGGACAGTGGTATCTACCGGAAACCTTTACAACGAAACTTGGGAAAGTCCAAGCGAGGAACGTAAAATTTACAACTACTAAAATCGAGACATTCCTAATACTCTTACTGTCATTAATAAAACTGCAGCTTGAGTGAAACTTTGCTACGCCAATGTTGATGATTTTACGATTCGAATAATATTTGGGAAAACGTTAAAATAATGAGTATCTAAATTGTTAAATTTTCTCCAAATATACATATCTAAATTATTCATTTGACCGGACTAAAGCGAGAGCAATTCTCGGAATACCTTGTATAACCTCTTGTTATTTGATTGAAAATTACAAAAAAAATGTACTGCAAGCTCGCTATTGATTACGGCCTATTCTGTGACAGAAGTGTTTTTTAAACGTTCTGTTACTTTTCCGTGACAACGTTCCTTCTTATGCCAAGAACTTGGCGTAGAAAGTTTTTTCTGTAGTAATCCTGTTTTTTATGTTTTTATGGAGTAATCCTCGGTTAACTATTTTCTTATGAAATAATCTCCCCTTAACTATGTTCTTATGGACTAATTCTCCGTTAACAATGCTAGTACATTATGGTCCGTACTTAGTGTTAGTCGTCAAGAGAACCGCCAGGACGCATCTTCGCGGACGCGTCTCTCACACGCGCTTCTACATCACTACCTAGCGGCCAGAATTGGGAAGAAGGTGGGAAAGGTCCGGGAATCGAGCCTGGACCTTTCTGACGAAAATCAAGCGACTTCGCTCTGCGCCACGAGCGCCTTTTGAAAATTCGCGGAGCATCTGACTTCTAGGCGAGACGCACTGCCTCGTGTGTCATCTTCTGCGGATTCCTCATACATGGATGCGCCATTAGAAACAGTTTTGTAAAATTACATAGCTTACAGACTGTTCCACTTTAAACTTGTTTTTAAAGTTTCTTATGTCTAAATGAAAGTGTAGTGGCCGATCTGATGGAGCAGCAGAGAAAGCGTCCGTCTCCCTTTGAGTCGTTCAGTTTTGAATAACACTTTGGTGATTAAAATGTTATAGTATCGTTCTGTTAAATGTTATATTTTATGTTGTAGAACGTATAAAGAACTTTTTGTGCATACCTTGACAAGCTAGGTACGCTCTCTCTTAGGTTATTTTAAAAATCACCTCCTCTTGAAAACCTAGAAATGGAATTTTGCTGTCCAGTAGGTGTATAATACGCTATTTTAACTCATTAATTCATCAATTGTAATACTTCCTCAATAAACAAATAGGTGAACACCATATACATATAAAATTGACACAAACTCAGGACCGGGATTTGATACAAATTATGTAATGATAATAAATATCATTCCAGGTTGTTTTCTTTAATTGAGGAGGTCTGTAAGAGAGGTATTTGTAATACTACGACATAAATTGTAATATTTATAGAAATATAATAATGCACTCAAGAGTTAAACGTTGCACCCTCGTCTGCTGGGAAAAAATAAATTTGAAGAGGCATAAGATAGATATTTGAAGAGGCATAAGATACTAAATACTGAAGAATCCAAAACATATTTGAGTTGGAACAATTTTAATTCGGATATTCCTTCCCCAAGAAATTCTTAAGGTGGAATTTTCAGGGTGTGCATTTCTTCAAATAACATTCGATGGAAATACTCATTTGGAATGTAATGGTCAATATCGGTTATCATTTTGAATCAATTGTGTAAAATTACCAAGACCTGATGGGTTTAAGGTGTGCTTGCCCTCATTGCTTTCCCTCTTATACATGAACAACTAATTCTTGTATCGAATACATTTCAGCAATGTCTGATTTTAATTGTATGTTTACGAACTAATCAATTCGCTAAAAATGATAAAGTTGGATCTAATAGCGTCGAGTATTTTTCATCTGAAGTTTAAACATTGTCTTTGTTGACTTTATACAATTATTTATGTGCAGTTGCAGGAATGTTTTTGATAATCGCAAGGGCTGCCACACTCACTGCCTGCAACTGCATGCAACGGCCGCCAGTCGTACCAATTGCGCTTCGTAGTGTTCACTGCGAGTCGAGGCAACAAGACAGGCACAACCACGTCTCGCAACGAGTTGCGCTGTAGTTGAGGTCGTGAGAGAGGTCGACTGCCACATCTGTTGTAAACAAACGATTGCCGTGTGTGCTAAATTTTTAAGCCATGCGGAACCAGAGACAAACAACGAAAAGGCGAATACAGCGGTGCTTGGAACCTGGGGTCATGCGCGTTCCATAATTCCATTTCTAGGTCTTGAAAACATAATGTACTGCGATGCGTAAAAGATAAAATCTGCAAAATTATAATTATCAACGGTGGAAGCTTAAGTAAAATAATAGTAAATTAAACAACAACCTAATTAAAGAATGAACTAACATTTAGTGTCAAAGGTAATGTGAAAAGGATGAAGAATATGAACAGATTTAAAATAAAGAAAATTAAAAAGAATTCCGTACTTCACTTTCTCAACGCTAGGGCATGTATCTTAAAAAATCGTAATTTGGGGCCAATACTGAAAAAAAGTACTGGGTCAATAACCTTAACTTCTCTGTTAAATTTAAAGGGTCGGGGCGATGGAATTTTGATAATGCAGTACTCGGAGGTGGCAATCGACCCCAGTACAACGCCTTTCCCGGATGAGGAGTCAGTCTCTACTAACTGGGAAGCAATGAAAATGTAGCTGATACTGGAACAGCCAAAGTATTGCGTGGATGACAACACAAACTTCATCCATCAAATACATATGTTGCAAAAACAGAATTTGCATTATTTTACTCGTTGTACTTCCTTCTGTTTATAAAATGTCTAAAGTGGAACTTGAAAAATTAGTTAAGGTGCCTTTTCTTTTGTTTCCTGCAAATCTTACAAATCTAGATACATCGGTACCTTGGAGTTTCTGATCTTTTTTGCACTAATAATGACTTGCTTTCTTGAAGCCATTTGTAATAGACAAAGGAAAAGCATAAATAACGAGGTAAGGTGTTTTGTGTCGCATTTATAGGACACCGTAGAAATATTAAAATTCACCTAAATTTTCAATGCCAAGAAATTAATCATTAGGGTGATCTTCTGATTAGCAGTGGCGTATGACACAGAATGTAATTGGTATATCTCACTATCTACCGTCTATAGCTAGAAAAAACCATTTCGGAGTGTAAGTGTGGTTTCTGGAAGGACATGTGCATGGATCGTTGGCCTGGAATAGGAACTGAAAAATTCTACAACTTTTTTTCTTGGTTGCAGAATTACTTATTTTGTTGACAGCATCTCGAATTTATGTGCCTGCCATTTCGTTATTTTAAGAACTTTTGATGTATCATGTAAACATTTGGTTTTTCTTCTTACACTAACTGAAAAATTGTTTCTGTATTTCAGAAATCGAGTTTGCTTCTTGTGAACGCCCATGCCATCCCTTGATGTGGCCCATGATATGTCGCATCAAGATGACAGTGGAATTGTACCAGTCCATGTCGAGGTGAGTTAGACCATCTGCAATACATCCTATCCCACGCTTCCGGATGCACGATTGATTTAGGAGCCGCGTGGGTTTTGAAAGCTGTCTCTTGGAAGTGTGTAATTGAACGCGTAGTAACATGTGTTCAACAGGTGAAAGAAGACTTTTAGCGCCGACGCCCTTTGCTGTTTAAGTCTCTGTTTGCTTCCTTAATGTTTGCATATCCCAGAACGTCAGGTAAACACGCGCGTGGAGTATTGCTTTGTGTTTTACTTATCGAAAAAGATAGTATTTTCTGGCGTTTTTTGGAACAAAAAAAAGGCGTGTAACCCAATAGCACGCTCTTTCTTATACTAGTTAGTTATCTAATCTCTTAAGTCAGAGCTAGCTTATCGCTTTTTCCTATGATATTTCTAATCTATTGAAGTTGAAAATGTATTCGTCATTCTTTTTCAATTTTTCGGTTACCTAAAAATTAAATTTATATGTGACTAAGACTATCATAATAGAGGAAAGCTATTTTCATACCCAAAATTTCGTTGAAGATTTTGAGCCACTTTGAAAAAAGAGTGACATGAGCGTTTGTGAAAGTGCACAATTATTAGTTCATTTTCACAGAAAAGTTTTGAGTTAACGAAAACTTCAAAATAATTTGAAGCACTTGTCTTCATTGTTGCAATGATTATTTAAAACCCATAATGCAAATAATTACGATTCGAGAGATGTATCAACAAATCACAGTTGTGTAAATTTTGAAAAAACAAAAACAAAAAACTGGAAATGGCGTTCAGTGCATTTAGCTCTGATCTAATACAATATTCATAGAAAAAATATGGATTTTTTGACAAAAGCGTAATTTTAACGTATTTTAACTCATATGGCCCATATTTTTCTCAAAACTTAGTAAAAGCTATTAATATTAAAAAAATGAAAATTACATTAATAAAAGAAATAATTGTGTTGAACAAATTTTATTTGAAGAAAAATTACTATCTTTAATGTTGTAATTTCGATCAAAAATTTCCACCTTTTGGCGATTTTCAAAAATTTAGGAATAACCGAGAAAAATCGCGTCTGTGTGATTTTTATAAGTATATTTTATTCTACTCTTACAAGACATTTAAGAAAAAAATTGCAGCAATTTTAGAGAAAATGTCCCTGAGGCTTTGTGGGAAATATTGACAACTTCAAAAGTTTTTTCAAAATTTTAGATTGCCAATTTAGGTTGAGCGGGTAATGTTTATTTTTTCAAAATTTTTACTAGTAATTTAGGCGCTAGTATTATCCCCCAACAGACGGACGGATTAATAGACTGAGACAGGCGGACGGACAATCGGATGGAGATGAAGAAACAAAACGAACAATTAAAACAAGAAACACGCTTTCTTGGTGTCACGGAACACCAAAAAGTATGCGTGTGTTTCCGTTTAAACCTCGAAATCAATCTTCTGCAGTTTTACATAATTTCTTTATACTACGCATACTTATATCACATGTACGTTCATATACCAGAAAGTACAAATTATATTGGTTCATGAATTCTTCTATTCATTTTTTTATCTTGATCGTATGTGTGCTGACCTACTGGCCTTCAGTGTTTCATGTAGTTATTTCGTAACTCTTAATTAATTAAACAAATATAATACTAATATAATTGTTGTATGTTTACATTGATTAAATCGTTTATTAAAAAGAACAATTAACTTAATCAGGAATAAAAACAAGACACGTGAGTCAGATCAAAATGAAATTAATGATCAGACATTGCAAAGTCAACGTTTTGTTCCTTACAATTTTGATTGAATTATCATGGGAATTTTAGCGTAGATCTGGCGTAATGAGCCGAGCGCGGTATTTGTTTGCTAACATCTCCTCGAGTTCAGTTTGCGCTCTTAGGGCCAACATTAGCGCAAAAGATTAGCGCAAAAGAAATATTGGACTGTCTCTTCTACTCTCCTTATTGACATATTCTCCGTTATCGTAATGAACGAGAATATATCGGAATCACTTCCGGTAGAACATGGCGAACAACAACACTCACCCGCGAGCGGAATGGCGTCGTCTTTATATCTTGTAGCTTTTAAGGTGATTTGACTCTTCGCTACATGAGTCGAAGTTCATAATGAGGCTTCCGCCTTCGGGTTACACGATTAACATAAAACATTCATGAGCCTGTCCAACCCATAATTTTCTCCGCATTTTAAACCAAGGTACTGTTTTAATAAATTAAAACGCGCCATTCTCATTTGGGCCACAAAGCAAAATGCCCTCATTCCCGTCACTTGTTATTCGCACTCATGCACCGATCTCGCGACGTCGGAATGGATATGTGACGACGAAGTTTAAAACACCCAAAATCTCTGCCCCAAATCATAATAAGGTACAGAGAAAACACGGCCTCTACCAATATGCTCTGAAAGAACGCATAACTGATGTTGGCCACCCTGTGCTTTAGTGCTGGTTTGATAGACGCGTGCACAGCTCACTGCACCTAACCATATCTGACCTAGAATATCCATTTTCACTGATAAGAAACATTTACAATAAAATATTTGTATATTTTTCACTCTTGATACGATAAATGAGTACATGGCATGCATTTGCCTTTATGTACCATTCGTCAATTCCTGAAATGCACACAAAAACTTTTTAAAACATTGATAAAATTATTTACCAAATCTGCTGAGAAACAGATAAACATAATTTACTTACAGTGTCTTGATAAAAGTGTGATCTACCTGGCCGGCCGACGTTTCTGCTCTTCGTAACCATAATCATGCTCACTCTTTGATCATAAGTTCAAGGAGGATTCAATAAGATTATCTTTCGATAACAATCGACGAGTTTTTCTGAGATATTCATCCAGAATTACAATCTTCATATTTCAGAATATCCGAGATAGAAGTGTAAGGGATGTGTTCAAGTTACAGCGATTCTACCGGGCGTTTCCAGGTCATTTGCAATTCAAAGAAGCCGTTGCATGATGCGCTATCCTGACAGCATGTCGTTTATTAAGCGCTGAGAGAAGAATTGACGACTCTCTAAAAAAAGTATCTAACGATTTACTTATTGACTCGGGTTACGAGATACGGACTTTCAGAGATGCCATTCCTACGCCTTGAAAACACGCTGCTGAACAACTTGCCTACGTTTTTAGTTATGTACAATATTAAATATTAATTTTATATATTTTCTCGTGCGCGTGGGTGTGAGTGCATGCGTGGGAACGAGGGTCTGATGAACCTAAAATGATCTGAAATTGGAGACTCTGACACTGAGCTCCTGAACACATCTGCAGTTGGAAAAGTTGATCAAGATGAATATTGAATAAAGTAAAGTTGGTGAGTGCAATCAATACTGTGAAAGACCCTAATTCTATGTAGCTTACTATCCTAATCGATGGTGCACTGATCCGACAAACGAACATTAACGGGAACTATATCACACCCTACCAGGCTCTATTGAAGGGTTCCATGTGTAATTTATAGACTGTGCACGCGTTTTCAAACATACTAAAATATAATTGAAGACTGCCACTGCCACTTACTGAAAGCGCGTGTTCGTAGCTCTTTGCAGACAAATTGGAAACGTTGAAGCCGGTGTCAAAACACGTAACTGCCACACGCCTTGCAAAGGCCTTGCAATAGGTCTCACGTAATCCAAACATCTCCGCTAGAAAATCCTTGACAACAGTAAAATTGTGTCTAGGGTTACCATACTTCCATTATGAAAAATATAACACTTTCTTATAATAAAAGAGGGCACTTTATATAAAATGTTTTAATATAATATTTTGTTATTTAAGGTCACATGAACATCTCGGTCATTAGCGATAACTATTGCATAAAACGATATGGTATCTGTGAAGATAACATGATATGGGGATGATAGGGGGTGAAAGGACGAACATAAATACAACCCTGCCCGAGGCGGGACTCGATCCCGCAATCCTTCAGTCCGAGGTCACTACCGCAGTATTGCCTTAACGATTTCGGCCATTCGAGAAGGCAATAATAATTTATTTTTCTTCAAGACAAACTTACTTACACTGACAAAATAAATACTTCAATCATTATCATCACTTTCAGAATAACACAATAGGCATACTTGAGTATCATTATTGCTTTTTCACTTTCATAGCAGAAGTATGTGACCGATGATGAAATCTCCATCAACAATTAAAACTTTGCTTTGAACCTTGCAACAAACGCTTTGAACTTTTAAGTGTCATTAAACAAGTTTTTTATGGCATTCTGCTCGAAATACAAACAGCATTGAGCAGTATAAACAGGCCATCAGGATAGTATTAACAACATAGAGCACAGAATCTATAACCAACACTATCACACAATACTTGTACAATATGTTGTACCAGCGCATGGCATCACTGACGCATTACGTGGAGAATACGACGTAAATGTGTATATAGTTGGTATATGGATTCTGCCGGTTAGGCTTGATAGTTAAAGCAAAATGCCAATTATTTATTCAACAATGAAAGTCTATGTGTCAGGGACTTGAAAAGTTAAAAAAACAGCAGTGTCCTTCATACTGCATCATATATCAGATTGCATTTCAAAATAGTAGTACCCTCTTTCCCATGAAAAAAGAGGACACTTCGTCTTTTCTGGTAAAATCCACCCGGACAGTTTTTCTTACTCCGAAAAGAGGACGTGTCCGGGGAAAAGAGGGCGTGTGGTAACCTTAATGGTGTCGGAACATGAAATATCATCTTACCATTCTGATTTTAAGCCTCTTACGAATAGAAATTTCGTATCCAGACTCCCAGTAAAATATTAAATTTTGCTTCGAACACCAGATTTTACACAGAACGTGCCATCATTGAAATGAGCAGAACGCATTTTTGATGGATATCTTGATTGTCTCGTACATCATTCAAGTTCTCTGCTAGCTGAGTTTCTCTCTCTCCCCTTAACTTCCTTCATAATATTTTAAGGTGACAGCAGTTGGTCATTTGTGTTTCAGGATATAAACTTTCTCTTAGGAACATTTTTTTAACC